AGAGAACTGTAGGACCMCGGTCTTCTCTCTTTCTCCCCCTCTCTATTTGTCTCTGCCTCTGGTTTGAAATGAAATCRCCTGCTTGCTCCCTCACACAATAGYGCATCCTCATAAGGAGGGGATGCAGCCAAGGGCTGGTCATGGAACCTATACTATACCATTTGGACTTCCAGCTTCAAAAATTTTGAGTTAAATAAATCTTTTCTTTTTATTGAGTTAGCTGCTTTGGGTATCCTGTAGTAATGCAAAACCAGCTACTATAACTCCTTTCTCTGTRTGTTTGGTGCTATGCTCAAAATCTGAGCAAGTGTTTGATTGCAGGGGCATATATGTGTCTCTGGGTTGACACATGTACACACAAATTCATGAATGGGTTTGGTACATTTTTATGGGTTCTCTCCTCCTGCTGAGAGGCCTTCTGTCTCCTTTTATTAACATTTAACCCCCACATCCTAGTGGTGTGTCAAAGCTGGCTGAAACAATGGTGCCAAACTACAAAAGTCCAGTCACAGAAGGGCACATACCACAGCCTCACCTGGACACTGTCTGCAGGGTGGAAGACAGAGAGGAAGATGGCCCCGTGAAGCCACTTAACCTTCCCCAGGTGGCCCTTGGTGAGCCACATACAGCCTCAGAGTGCAAAGACATGGGCACAGGCACCAGCGTGAGTCACAGGCACCAGCAGGAGAGATTGAGTAATAGGAGAACTGCAGATTCCATGGTCTCCCTGGTCACCACAAAACAGGGGATCCTGAACAGAGGCCACTCACAACAGTGGCCTAAGATCAAACCCTAGGCTGCCATCTCTCAAYGTATGAACCTAGGCAAATGGCCTTTAACTGGAGCCTCTCCTGAAAAGACAGACTAAGTAAGAGGGCCCAGAAAGAGTCCCCGACACAGAGCAGACTCAGACACACTGACCGCCTGTGAGTTCAGGCCATAGACCTTGCATAGCCTGGATGCTTCTGGAGGAGCACAATTGTGGYATTCAGTGATTCACCCTTTGTGGCYGACACAACAAGATCTAGAGGAGTCTAGATAGGATGGCTCAGTGGGACAGGACTTGTTTTGGGAATCAAACCTGGTTTTATACGGGCTACTAGAAGCCACATAATCTTGGACAAATATCCAAGTCTCTGTGCCTTGTTTCCCTCAATATAAAATATRGTGCCACAAACATGATTTTCCTAAAGTGATCCTGAGAGGGCTCCTTTCAGGCTACCTGGACAAAGAGCTAGATGCGACCAGTTGACCAGCCAAGCTCAACTTCCTTTCAGACCAGAGAGACTCTAGGGGCAGGTCAGCTGGTGTTCCCAGGCAGCTACTATAAACATACAATACCCCAAACCCAGACCAGCTTGTGCCAACATGTCTACTTAAGCCCTGAAGGAAGGAAGTCAGACAGTGGGGCTCCCTACAGCAGGACACAACAGCACCCTGGCCTTGCAGTGTGAGCAGAGCCTGCTCAGCCAGGCACAGTGATGGAGAGGGCAGATCCTCACCAGCCAGAACCAGGGCTCAGTCGTTCAGTCAACAAACATATATGGGGCATTTATAACAGGCCAAGCCTATTCTAGGTTAGGTCTACCAGTAGGGAATGATATAGACAAAAACCTTAGTCCTCATATAGTTTGTAACCTAATTAACAGATTTAGCATGCTAGAACATCATAAGTTCATAGCAGGGGAAATAAAGGAAGGGATAACTGATATAGGAAGGGGTACAGATGAGAAATTAATCCATCAGGTCTCTCTATGGACTTACCTATGTGCAACTGTCCAGAACACAGTCCTTCCTAGCTTCAGACAAAAARAACTGGAAAAAGCAAGGCCTGACTTATTCTCCAGACAAACGCCAAAGAATGACTCTTTCTCCTGTGAATCCTCTAATTTGGTAACACATTGAGGCATTCTGATGCCCCAGTCATCTCCCTTCCTATTTGTAAATCAGCATCCTAAACGATGCTGCTTCAGTGAGCTGGTGACAAATGCACTTGAAATGCATTCTCCTGCAYGCTCATAAAGTTGATTTAATATTTCAATTAATCTTGCCTCTTCCTCATCCACAATTTATGCGGCTGCTTTTTAAGCAAGTCTTCTTTGGAACTTAAATGAGCACAAGCGTAAACATTGGTTAATTTATCTGTTTTCCAGTAGATAATTTCATTTCCCTGAAGCACCTCTCCATCCCTTTATGTGCTCCCCCAGCCARCACATGGGGTGATGGTCTCTAATTGCATCACCAATGAGGGCATCCATCGTGTTTCATCTGGCCCATTTTGAGAGGCCATAAATTCAGAAGCCCAGGTAAAAGAAAAACAGGCATTCTCCCCATGGGAGAGAAGGCTGAGCCTGGGAAGACAGGAAATGGGACTGGAAGAGAACAAGAGAGTTTTCTGGGAAGATGTAAGTGCAGGCAGCCAGTAGCTCTGTCTATGTGACCAGGCACCCTCCAAAATAGGAGGTTGACGTTTAGCAATTAACACTGAACTAAGCTCAGCTCAAGGAATTGTTTTATGTCCTTCAGAGAAAGCATCTGGTAACTTGAGGAAAGGTGGCTTTAGGTAGATTAATGAGGATAACCCACTATATTAGTCTGTTTTCCATTGTTGTAACAAAATACCTGAGGCTGGATAATTTGTGAAGAAAAAAAAGAATTTATTTAGCTCACAGTTTTATAGTGCAAGTCTAGGTAGCCCCTCAATATGACCTCTGGGGAGCATCCCCTTGATGGATGGCATCATGGCTGAGTGCATGAGAGAGAGAGAGAGAGAGAGAACCTAAGCTACCATGGAGCAGAGAGGAATCCACAGTGATGGCAAGAAAGACAAGTTCTGGTCTACATCAATGCCAGCTGACTAGGGCTATAGAATAACCCACAGTGGCAGACAGACTCAGCATGTGTATCAGTCTAGCTTGACACCAGCTCTGGTGGGTAAAAGAGTTCATCCTCATGCAATATCTGCTGCAATGGTTCTAAACTTAGGAGGCCCCCTAGCACTGCAGTGGCTGCAGCAGGCATGAGTTTAGGTATCACAACAGAAAACGCACCTGGAATTTCTAGGCAGGCTTACGGTTGAAGGCCATTCCTAGATAAAGGCAGACATCACAGTCAGGAATAAACATCTACTTCTTCAATTTTCAGACAACAATGAGTGACTGTAAGAGTCAAGAATAATCAGAGAAATATAACTTAACCTAAGAGACAAAATAATGTGCTGTGAGACTGACTCCRAAGAAATGGAGATGTACAAACTCTCTGAAATAGAACTCAAAATAACTGTTTTAGGGGCTGAAATTGTGGCTCAGTGGTAGAGTACTTGCCTGGCATGTGTGAGGTACTCGTTTTAAGCCTCAGCACCACATCAAAATAAATAAAAAAATAAACACATTTTGTCCATCAACAACTTAAAAAAATTTTTTAAGAAACTGTTTTGGGAAGCTAGGAAAACTAGCAATCTCCAATAAAATGCAGAGAAACAGTTCAAAAATGTAGCAGAGAAATTTGAGAGATTAAAATAATTTTTTAAAAAAACAGAATCCTTCATCTAAGCAGGGCCTGGTGGTGCATACCTGTAATCCCAGCAGCTCAGGAGACTGAGAAAGGAGGATCACAGATTCAAAGTCAGCCTCAGCAATTTAGTGAGATCCTATGCAACACAGGGAGATCCTGACTCAAAATAAAAAATAAAAGGGATGGGGATATAGCTCAGTTGTTAAATGCCCCTGAGTTCAATCCCTGGAAACAAAAAGAAAAAAGAAAGAAATTCTGCATCTAAAAAATACAACTCACATAATAAAAATACAAGAGAAAGTACCAACATCAGAATTGATCAAGCAGAAGAATTTGTGAAGTTGAAGACAGACTATTTGAAAATACATAGAGGTTAAAAAAAAAAAAAAAGGAATGGAAAAGAATAAAGAAAGCTTATGGGGACTGGGGAGGTRGCTCAAGCGGTAGCACGCTCGCCTGGCATGCGTGCGGCCCGGGTTCGATCCTCAGCACCACATACCAACAAAGATGTTGTGTCCGCCGAGAACTAAAAAATAAATATAAAAAAAAAAAAGAAAGCTTATGGTATTTATGGGACAACAACAAAAGAGACAATGTATAAGTCATTGACTTTCAGGAGGGAGCCGTAATAAAGGGGTAGACACATTAAAGAAGTAATAACATAAAACTTTTCCAACCTAAAGAGGAAGGCCAAAGGTCTCCAATCACATGCAATATAAATTAGAATAGCCCATGACATTTTATAATCAAACTATCCAACAGAGAGGATCCTGAAAGTAGTAAGAGAAAAGAAACAAATCACATATAAGGGAGTTCCAATATGCCTAGCAGCAGAACTCTCAAGGGAAATCTTATAGGCCAGGAGATACTGAGATGATAAATACAAAGTGTTGAAGGGGAAAAAAAACCTGTCAACCAAGAATACTGTACTCAGCAAAGCTATCCTTCAGAAGTGAAGGACAGATAAACACTTTCTCAATCAAACAAAAACTGAGGGAGTTCGGGATAACCTATCTTAAAAGAAATGCTGAAGGAAATCAGCATCATAAGAAATGCCTAAAGGGGCTGGGGTTTTGGCTCAGTGGTAGAGCACTCACCTAGCACRTGTGAGGCCCTGGGTTCGATTCTCAGCACCACATAAAAATAAATAAATAAAATAAAGGTATTGTGTCCAACTACAGCTAAAAAGTAAACATTTTTTTTTAATTTTTAAAAAGAAATGCTAAAGGGAGTTAGGATACTAAGCAATATAAAAACATCTGAAAGCTTAAAGTTTGCTGGTAAAATTAAATACAGATTCAGAATAACTTAATAATGTAATTGTGATATGTAAAGCACTTATAGCTTAGTATGAAGGTTAAAGACAAACTAATAAAAATGATAATAACTACAATAATCTGTTGAGGAACATGCAATATAAAATTATGTAAACTGTGACATCAAAAATTCAGAATGAGGGTGGAGTTAAAAGAGATAGCGTGTGGGCTGGGGATGTAGCTCAGTGGTAGGGTGCTTGCCTGGGATGCATGAGGCTCTGGGTTCAATTCCCAGCAGCACCAAATAATTTTTTAAAAAGTATAGTTTGGTTTTCTTGCAATCAAAGTGAAATTGTTATAATTGTTAATATCTTACGGCTATAAGATTTCTTAAGTCTCATGGTAATCACAAAACAAATACTTACAAAATGTACACTGAAAAAAACCCAATATCAAAATATACCATTAGGGAAAAGTATTTAACCACAAAGAAAGACAATAAAAGATGGGGAAAAGGAAGAAAAGATTTACCAAACAACAAGAAAACAGTTAATAAAACAGCAATAGTAAGTTTACCTTCAACACTATCCTTGAATATAAATGGATTAAATTCCCTAATTAAAAGAGATAGAATGGCTAAATGGATTTTTTTAAAGATACAAATATATGCTTACTACAAGAGACTTTTTCACCTATAAGTACACATATAATAAAAATGAAGAGATGGAAAAGATATTGCATCCAAATGGAAACCAAAAGAGAGCAGAAATAGCTAGACTCATATTAGATAAAACAGACTTTGAATCAAAATCATAAAAAGAGACAAAAAAGGTCATTTTATACTAATAAAAAGGCCAACTCAGCAAGAGGATATAACAATTGTAAATATTTAGAGAACAAACATCAGACCACTTAAATATATAAAATAAATGTCAATGGATCTAAAAGTAAAAGAGTTTCAGTAATAGATAACCAAGGCAGGCAATCAACAAAGACCTATCAGATTTAACTTCAYTCTTAATAGCACATTCTATCCGGTAAGTTCAGAATACAATCACATGTTAAGCCAAGAACAAGTGTTAACAAATTTGAGAAGACTAAAATCACATCATATATAGTCTATGACCATAATGTATAAAACTAGAAGGCAACCACAGGAAACGCAAAGCTAACTACATGGAGATTTCATCTTACTCCAGTTAGAATGGCAATCATCAAGAATACAAATAATAAATGCTGGGGAAGATATGGAGGGAAAATGTATACTCATATATTATTGGTAGAACTGCAAATTAGTACTACCACTTTGTGAAACAGTACAGATATTTCTCAGAAGATAGAAATGTAACCATCATAGGACCCAGATACCCCACTCCTTGGGATTTATCCAACTCAAATCAGCCTGCATACCAATGTTTAAACAGTGCAATTCACAATATGCAGATTATGGAAATAATCTAGATGTCCATCAACAGACAAATGGATGAAGAAAATGTGGTGTATATACATAATGGAATTTAACTCAGCTATAAAGAAGAATGAAATTATGTCATTTACTGGTGGATGGATGGAACTGGAGAACATCATGCTAAGTGAAATAAGCCACACTCAGAAACTCAAAGGTCAAAAGTTTTCTCTAATATGCAGAAGCTAGAGAGAAATAAGGAATTTTTAAAAATGATCTCATGGGGCATGTCACTTCCTACCTCCTGTAATCCAGTAACTCTAGAGGCTGAGACAGGAGTAAATCACAAGTTCAAGGTCAGCCTTAGCAACTTAGTGAGACCCTGTCTCAAAATAAACAAATAAAAAGGGCCGACTCCACAGCTCCGGACCTGAGGTGAGGTGGAACATCTCAGCAGAAGGGCCCGGTGGAGGGAAGCAGCTCAGGACATGGCAATCAGGAAGCAGAGAGAGAGCTCTGCTCACCAGGGACACACTATAAACCTCAAAAGAAAGTCCTGCATGGGCACACACTTGAGGTTTGGGGAAACATTCCATATATAAACCAGAACAAAATTTAATAGGTTAACTGCAATCTTCAAGGTAATCACTAAGAATATACTAGTCACATGTGGCAGCAACTAGAGGAGCTGAGGCAGGAGAACTGCAAGTTCTAGGCCAGCCACAGCAATATAGTGAGATCCTATATGAAAAAATAATAATAACCATAATACACTACAAAAAATAAATTTAAAAAATCAGTATAAAAAGACAACAATGGAGAAACTGAAGAACAAAAAACACGTATATTAAACAAACAAAACAAATGACTAAACAGAAGAAGTAAATTTTTTCTTATTGGTAATTATTATAAATGTAAGGATATTAAACTCTCCTATTAGAAGACAAAAATTAGATATGGTGGTGCACACCTGTATTTCCAGTGGCTCTGGAGGCTGAGGTGGGAGGATGGAGAGAGTTCAAAGCCAGCCTCAGCACCTTAGCAAGACCCTACACAACTCACCAAGATCCTGTATCTAAATAAAATGTTTAAAAAAAAAAAAGTCAACCTAACAAAAGAGGTGAAAGAACTATACAACGAAAACTACAGAACACTAAAGAGAGAAATAGAAGAGGATCTTACAAGATGGAAAAATATACCCTGTTCATGGATAGGCAGAACTAACATCATCAAAATGGCAATATTACCAAAAGTTCTCTATAGGTTTAATGCAATGCCAATCAAAA